CCACCATTCGAAGCACATTGACCAGATTTTTGCAGTAACTGAGCAGTGGAGAAAAAGATGGTTGCTGTCTTCCACATTCCGTCCACAAAGGCTACACTTAACAGCCTCCATCTCCTTAATTAATCCCCTTTTCAACAAGTTGAATTTTGAGGGAATCCTGTCAAATAGTAGTAACCAAGTGAATCCACAGACTTTGTTCAAATAGTTTTTAATTAAAGTTTTTTCTTTTTTCTTTTTTGATTGTTCAAATAGTTTTAGAGTTAATTAATTTTGATAATTAGTTAATTACAATCCTTCTAGGTTCAACAATTAAGAAGTTGCTACGGAGATGCATTACTGGTTTGGCGTTGGTTATTATTTATTGGGAGGAAGTTGGGATGGTGGCTGGTGTTTTGGGGTGGATTGATTAGCATATTATGTGAAGGTCTATGTGGAGATATATTTAGTTTGGGATGGCCTCAAGAATTAAAGGTTCCAGTGGTGGTGGTGACTAAGAATGATGATTGTCTTCGATTTTTCGAACACATTTATTTGCAAAGAATCATTATAGGCATTGGACTCTTTGTAGAATTTGGAGATGTATAAGAACATGGAAGGAATTTTTGTTGGTGTTCAACGACCATATTTTGGAAAAAGCAGAGGGATTTGATCCATTCTCTTTGTTAAGAGCTTTCTCTAGAGTGAAATTTGTTACCACAATTTGAATGCATGGTAGGTTGGATTCCTATCATATTAAGTTATTATAGTGTTAGGCGTCCTTAATAGTGTAATTAACACAATATATATATATATATATATATAGAGGGATAGTTGAGTATGGATTTATTTTTATTATCTATCCCTTTTTAAATGTTTCGATTGTTCGGGCTACTTTGCCCTTTAAGGAACTTATTTATTGTAACATATGAAAATTATAGATTATTACAATACTTTTTAAGGGGTAGAGATGCATTGTAATTGCTTTACCTTATTATCAATACAATGTCAATTATTTTTCTTAAAAAAAGGGAAAACACTTCTCATTACTTTATTATTTGAACGATTAATACACTTACTAATGAATTTTAGTACATTAATAATGTTGACATAAAATCTGAAATTTTCATTATCAAAATTTATATAGACAACTCATTGAATATCTAGCGTATTCTTCCTTTTTTTATCATTCAAATGTTTACTTCAGGAAGTAATTACCTAACAAAATGTTTAGAGTTTTGTTGATAAACTAGAAATGGGATCCGTTACAATGAATTAATATGAAAGTTTTGCCAAGAAAAAATCAAGGTTAAATTCAGTTAGAGTGGCTTTGTACTAAATTGAGAAAAATTAAAATGGATGTTTTGATGTGTAGGAACTTAAATGCGACGTGGGAGCAATCAAAATTTACAATATGTTTGATTTGAGAATAATATATTTGATTTGAGGAAAAAAATTGATAAATTTTTTTTAATTAACAAAAAATTAAAAAAAGAGAAGAATAAAATGCATTGTTTTATTTTTTTACTTTAATTTTTTTCGCTTATCTGAATAAATGGAGAAAAGGTAAAAAAAAAAAAAAAGAAGGTGTCAAGTGCTTCCATTCTCCTCTCCTATACTCCTACCTATTCTTTCAAACCAAATATACAAATCTCATGCTAAACGACGTCGTTTTTCCAAAAGAAGAGCACAACAAAGACAAATATACGGGGGCACAGCACTACTCTCCGTTTTCGGAAAACCCCGAAAGCCTAAACCCGGTGTTCCGGTAGCCGTTCGTCCCCATTCCGGTCAAGTGGCCCTCAGTTGTCCAGATGTCGCGACAAGGTCAGCCCTTCCTGTCCTTGCTCGTGCCTGCAGAAAACAGTGGCTGTCAAAAGAAGAAAAGCAGTTAATTTCTGGCCTCTTGTGATCCATGGCTGAGATTGAAGAAAAAAAAGGAAGAAACAGTGATGATGGTTAAGCAGGAAAAGTTAGGGTCTCTCTTTCTTTTTTGCATAAATAGGATTCCAAACCTGGGA